CTCTCTTTCTTTCAGACGTTCTTCCCTCATATCCAACTCCTGACAACAGCACACACAAGGTGGGGAACTTTACACTCATTTAAACTGGAACAGCCAAAATGTGATTATTTATATATATATATATATATATATATATACTACCACCTTTTCCAGAGCATCCAGTGCCCTGGTCTCACTATCAGAGTCCTCGTATTCATCTGAAAGCCACATTGCGTTTGTCCTCTCATCTGCCAGATCCTTACTCGAATCCTCCCTATATCTGAAAATATGAACAATCTAGTTACACTCAATTCACTCGGAGGGCTTGACACTTACTTTTCAGTGTTTTGGCTTAATAAGGGGATGGTATTCAATTCAATTCACATTTATTTGTATAGCGCTTTTCACAATACACATTGTTTCAAAGCAGCTTTACAGAAAATGCCACATTACAATTAGAGTGATCTGTTATCAGAGGTAACTGTTACGCATTTCAGAAATGTACAAAATCACAGTCAGCGAGATGTTTATTAGCCTAATTTAAACAATGTAATAATTTAATGCAGAAACAATGAGCTCATTGAAGTAATGAATTCTTGTTTGTTAACAAAATGATTTTGACATTTAGAAAATGTAGCATTGATTCATAGTTTGCAAGCATCATCTGAAAGGATAGTAACGTTAGCCTACGCTACACAAGTTTTTTTTTAAATATATATTTCTGCTTTAAACTGTTTTTAGTAATTATTGATAGTCCTATACTTTAAACTGTATATAGGCATTTGATAGTTTAAACATTTTTCGAATGATAATTGCTAAAGGTTTTTACAATGACACGCTCTCAGAAAAAAAAGGTAGCTACAAAACACAAGCTGTCACTGGGTTGGTTCCCTTTAAAAAGGTACACCTTTGTACCTAAAGAGTGCATGTATACCTCAAAAGGTAGGTACATTGTGGTACCTAAACGGTACATATTAGAACAATTTTAGAGTACAGTGGTAATTGCTTTTGGGAAACGCACCCGTTAATCTCTGAAACCGAATCTCAGCGGCCATAAAACAACGGCACATTAATGCTTGCTTCCCACAAAAACACGGTTTAGGCTGTAATACGTTATCTACATAATGTATAAAATACACTTACAATTCCATTTGTTTTTTTAAATCCTTTTCAAATTTTGTTTTGTCGAAATCCATCTTTACTCCCTTGCAAGCTGTGCGGACAAACAAACTTTCTGCTGGCGTGATTTAAACTTTCAAAAAATGCCAAACATTACATTAATAGACCTTATGTAGCCCCGCCCCCTTTCAGCGCTGCGCTCGTTGTCTTTTGTCCTTTTTTTATTTTATTTTTTTATTGAATTTTAAGAATTACAATTTCAGTCAGGGGTACAATGATTAAACTAAATAAACAAACATAAAAAGACAAACAAAGCAGTGACAAACCTAAAAGTTAAACAAAAATGTGAAAATGTTTACATATAGATGCGCACTTTGCAGCTTTCTTATTTTTCAAACCCAGTATTGTTTTTAGGTATTGTTGAATTTCTGCTCTCAAAATTACATACCTGCCAACTTTTGAGTTTTGCTCGGCGTGAGATTTGTTGACGGGGGGGGGGGGGAGACGAGTGATATTTGTTGACGGGGGGGGGGGGGGGGGGGGGGGGGGGGAGACGAGACGAGACGAGTGAGATTTGTTGACGGGGGGGGGCTCGCTCGCGCAAGGTCTCTCGCTCGCGCGCGCAAGGTCTCTCGCTCGCTCTACGCGGTTTGGAGCACAATCTCTGTCTCGCATGCACGCTCGCTCTAGATAACGGGAGATTTTTAACGAATTTGTGGTATAACTAGTCGATCACGAGTGGCTCAACAGAGGTAGATATATAGATAAACTCATCTTCCAGGCATTTGACCGACCGGGTTGACACTTCAGCGTGAGAAATCGGGAGTGTGGCGTGTGAGCACGGCCGCATTAACAATAGGGCTAGGCGGGGCTAAAGCCCCGGGGCCCGAGCAAGGAGGGGGCCCTTGATTGGCTGTGGAGCAGATACTACTAGCCATCTGATTGCCAAAGCCTTCCCACGCAACGCCCCCCACAAATTAGCCCTGTTATTTAGTAGCGCTTTGCCGAATATTCCATGCATTATCATGGAATCATTATCATTAATATTATAGTGACCGTTCGCAAAGACCCGCCTTTTTTAGTTACTGTGTGACAAGCCAGGCGGCTCTCACGAGTCACGCACATCATGTTCTCACTCACGCAGTGAAAAATACATCGCGGGGTAAAGACTAACGTTACACAATTGACTACGAGAGAGAGTTCAGAGCAGCTTACTGTTGATATGAAACAAAGTCTCAACTTTCAAATATTGTAATTTAAATAATTTAAACAATACCGTTTTAAAGTTCAAGTCCACCGACGTTCATCTACTGACAGCTTTGTTGTCGGACAAAATTGCATATTCGGCGTTATGATTGGCCAGGCCGCCTGTCAATCAAACCCCCGTGGGCAGCAGGACAGGGCATGGTGAAATGAAACGTCACGTTTATTTTAACATAATACATTTATTCTATATTTAACTTGTGAACGATCGACCTGCTGCTGCACATAGGCCTATAGATGGCTGCCTGGAGTGCCTGCGCCTTATTAGAATATAGCTATACGCATCAACCAATAAATCGCCTCCACCCTTCACTTCATTCTAGAGTCTAGACTATTTTTTAAAACACAGCGTCATCGTCGACCCCACAAATTTTCGGTAAGTTTGATTATTAACTTGATGGATGTTTGATCTTGCTTTTTGTGTTTGATCAAACTCTATATTCGCCTAAAGGGCTGGCGATAATATATCCGGTAGAAATATGTAAATTTTGCTAAGACATCATGATGTAAGTTTATAAATTAAACGCGTTTTTAATCATTGTGGTTTGGATACAAATTATTTTAAATGATGGTGAACTTGAGGCGGTTTTGCACAGCGCATTTGAGTTCCGACCCTGAGGTCTTAAAGTGACAGTAGCTGCTAATAAAGCTGCTGTCGCCTTTTGTGTCCATAATGTTAATCAAACATCAGAAAGAAAGTAATTTACTGCCCTTGAATGAATCACTTTTGTAAAATTAATAAGAATGAATGTTGAATTTATAGTGAAAACTATGTATTGTATATTTGATTACTTTATACAATATAATATTATTCAGTGCTTTAAGTTTTTCAAGGTCGATTTCTTATATGCCTTTGTTCTATTGTTAATTGTTGTTACTCTTGTCATCGGTAAGCTTGAGATTCTTTTCTTAAGTTACTATTATTTTTTGTGATATTGAAATTGGTCACAAGAATTATGAAATGTTAGTGCCATTAAATTTTGATATGATAAAAAATCGTTTTAAAAGTAATATAACTTAACTGTGAAGTATATCATAGATTGATAAAATGACTCGTATAATGATAGAACATTTAGCTCATGTAGTTGGTGACCTGTAGTGGTGGGGGGCCCTGCAGTAACCCATAGCCCCGGGGCCCAGTGAGCTCTTAATGCGGCCCTGCGTGTGAGCGTGTGAAACCAATCAAATGCGGGTGTCTCACGGCCAATGCGTGAGAGTTGGCAGCTATGAAATTAAAAACAAAGGCTTGTTTCCTCAAAATTTACATTTATGAATACTAAATTTAGCTAACAGAAGAAGCAGATTGTCCTCGATCGAGTCTGTATACAGCGATCTTATAGGCCTATTTATGAATGAACGGCTTGTTTTAAAATCTTCCCGGTCTACTGACATTTGTTAAGACATCTGCTTTAAACATTACAATACTCATGATAATGTCCGTTTACTTTACAAGAAGTAAATCCACTTCACCAGCTAATTACTCCTCGACAGCGATGCCATTGAACTTCCATTTTTCCGGTAGCTCTGTATATTTAAGACAATATTCTAAAGATGGCTGCGCGCTTAATCAGTGTAACCATAATAACGGTGAAAACATTATTAATATTACAAATTCAACTATTTTTTGTTGTATGGATCAGTATAGCCTACATAGGCATATCTGTTATGCAACATCTATTATTCAGATCGTGTCAAATGCACTTTGTTGTCTACATTTATATATATATAAAAAAATCGAATTAATTATTTAATACAGAAACAAAATGTGGCAAAAATGTGAAGGTGTGTGTGAAGGATAATGAAAAATGGACAGTTTCAGTTACACGAAAAACGCTAAGGAAAAACTTTTGTTTTTAGTACATAGTAGGCTATTGTGTAAAGGTACCCTAATCTAACAAGATATAGGCATTACACAAGCTAACAACTGAAAAAAAGTTCCCAGAAAACAAACACTAAAATTAAAAGCTTAAAAATGCAACCAGATAAAATTGAATTGATGTTTGTTTATTTGATGGCATTACAATGGAGGTGTTTTTTTTTTCTGTCATTGTTTGACATTACAAAATGTGTACAGTACTTTCTTGGTTGATGCTAAATGTTCTCTGAACTCAAAAACACAGCCAAACATGTTCGAGAGAATGTCAAGGCACGTCATGTTATTGAGACCAGAACAAGGAGGACCATAGAGGTCAGTCACAGTGTCACTTTGAGCAGAATTTCAAATATCACATTAGCTGTCCGTCACTAAGACCACAAACAGAGGTCAAGGGTCAGCAACATTTTTGGTGTACTCTAGTTTTAAAAGCAGACTACTCATAAATGCTGCAAAAAAACAAACAAAAAAAACAAACACAATGTCAAAAAAACCACTTGTTGGTGCGTGATTATGGTTTCCAATTTTCATTGGCTTTGACATCCCATCTCTTCAGCTAAATATCCTAACACTAATTTCTCCATGGAGAATTCATGAGCACTGACATGATTAAAGAATTTGAGCGTAATAAAAACAGGAAGTTGATGTTACTCCTTATTCATTTATATTCCTCACAACAATACACTGATTCTACAAGGACTGATTTGAATCACATAAAGAGCTAACTTAAATAATACGACCAGGGCACATTTTTTTTTCTCTCTCCTTCCATCCACTTGTTGGCCTCCCATAAAACTGGTTTAGAACCAGTCAGCTTCACAATCAAACATAATTTAAAACCCAAAGAGATCCTACGACAACAAAAACACAACACAGAATCAAAATAGAGTATAAAACAAGTCAAGGATTAGTGTAAGGATTTTAGTTGAACAGACAATATTACACCATCACGATCCCGTTCCTTTATGTCAGCATTATTCTGCTATTGCTTGCGAATTAAAAACACATCAGCGTTCCTTGAGCTAAGAAAATAAACTTACCTAACCAGACACTGGACACCAGACACAGACACCCAGTGTTCTGTTATTGGACTTCTGTGCTAGTTACAGCTTGTCCATAACGAACACCATGTTCAAGCATAAGGGTGTCCATCAGTGCACGTGGCACCAGGACACTGGCTTTCTCAAAATGCAAATATTATATTTCTAAATATTAACAACGTTCTAAAACATAAATAGGATAGCTAAAAACAGTTGCAGCAGTTGACGGCAGGTCTGTCGGTCATAAAAAGGTAAGACGTGGTCTGTGCGTCTCATATGTAGGGGTACTGAGGGACCCTCCGGGGACTGAGCTGAAAGCTGTTGTACGCCCCGCTTCCTCTAGTGGTGCTGGTGCTCGTGGTCACATAAGGGTGAGCGGGGTAATGTTGCTGGTAGTGGGCGGAGAGTCTGTGGACCACACCTCCAATGGAGTCCTTCGGGATAAGACTGGCTGCATAGTGACTGGTGGGCGGGGCATGAATGGAGGGGGAGGAGCCCTGGACGAGCAGGTGCTCCATGTGGGATGCGGGAGTGGGGTAGGTGTACAGGCTGGGGGTGCTGGTGAACGAGGGCGCCTCCTGGAGACAGTAATGAGAGGAGGCCGGTGGGTACGTGTGCTGTCGGCGCAGGGACGATGAGCCACCGGATGGTCCTTGGGATGAGACAGTGGTCTGGAAAAAGGAGGAAAAAAAGGAAATTGAAGCACATGTTCTTTACCATTCGCCTGGTTAAAACCAGAGCATTCTCAGTTGTAACTGAGTTATGTTCTGGCAAAGCGTCATAGACAAATCATTTCCAGAGGGGCGTCACCAACGGACGTCGCGGATAGACCTAAACCCAATCAGAGCGATGAAGGAGATGACGTATGCAGAGCGGCGGAGACACATCTCCGAGTGTTGTTCTTTGCTCGGTTTTTAACTAAAAGGAAATGTTCAAATGGCTTAAAACAGACGCGATAGCTGATTCGAACGAGTGATGTTCGACGGCGGCGTCCATCTTTGTAATGTAGGCTACAAAATCTGCTTCAAAATCCCAGCACTGTCGTCATCGTGTAAAGCCCGCCCCAACGCTTCTGATTGGTGCCGCGATTTCGGCGGATTGGAAATGGGCTTGAATGAGCTCTTTGCCAGACTAACTTTCAGAGCAAATCTAAATTTGCCGGAAGTTGTCTGGGTTTTCCCAGGCTACTTTACCATACATTTAGCGGCGAGATTTGATGTCGGCAAGTCGGACACTTTCTGTTTTTTACAGTGTTTGCGTATACTTTGACTACCGATGAAGTTGATTAGATGTAATATCTAATTGGGATGAGTTTTTGTCTGCGTTCGTGTGCTTTTTCTTTTTTTATTATGAGTGGAGCGGCAGTCAGATTGGTGTATATGCGGGGTGATCTTCTGGGGCTGAAAAGTTCAAGATGCGGGGTTAAACATCTGATACCAGCTGAGCTGTGGGAGAACCGGGGCCAAGCTAACACAAACGAAAAGCCAAGAAGTGGAGACAAAAGCCGTTTCTGCCATCAATACTTATTGGGAATGTTAATTCTTTGCCCAACAACGAACAGGAGGCTCTTGTGAGGAACCGTGACTGTGCCGTGAGTGTAGCCTTAAGCATTTTTTGGAGACCTGGCTAAACAACAACACGCCCGATGCATGTGTGGACTAGGGCTTTGACTTTTGCACAAAAATCATATTCGAAGTTCGTTTGTTTATTAATATTAGAATATATTCTAATATTTTGAACATTAAATGTCTTCAGTAAGACCTATATTAGTATCAAACTTAAGCTGTATATGTTCTGTCCACCAGAGGGCAGTGTATCAGTCAATGTCAATATGCAGGCAATGATGTTTTCAGAAGAAAGACTGTTTAAAAAAAAAATAATAAAAAAAAAAATAATAATAATCAGACCCTGGATTAAACACAAGCAGAATGCTTTCGACAGGTTTTATCCACTGTTCTTATCAAAAGATTATTCTTATCAGGCGTGGTTGTTGTAGGCATTAGCGCAGCCATTGTTTTGGTATTCAAAATAGGCGCTAACCAGGACGCTTCCGTCACCTTCAGGAGCACAGATGACCAATGATAGCTTTTCTAATGAGCTCGCCATTCACAACTTCACCAGCCGTGAAAAAGCCACGGAATCTGAATTGAAAACAATGTTCACAAGCAAACACATTTGCAAAAAATAATGGCCATAACAGGTTCGAATATTAAAGGATGCCTAATATTTGTTCGAATATCAGTATTTATTTGAATAACAAAGTTCAGAGTCAAAGCCCTAGTGTGGACATACCTGGCTTCTCTGTGGTACAGGAAGAGATGTAAAGGCCAGCAAGAAGAGTAAAGGTGGGGTCTGATTTTGTTTCTGAATAACAGATAGTGTAACCCTGGTCATATTATAGTAAAGGAGCGGATCTGCAGTCAGGATATTGAGCTCTTGGTCGCAGTCGGTCTTAGACCTTATTATGTGCCAGAGTTGAGCAGCGTTCGGGGCACCACAGGGAACTGACTGTCTTAGCTCCATTCTTGTTCACTCCATTTACATCAGACTTTAAACACAACTCGAGTCCTGCCATATGCAGAAATATTCTGATACAGCTATTGTGGGGGGTATCAGGGATGGACAGGAAGGGCACCTTCAGTGACTGGAGCAATAAGAACTGCCTCCTGAACTCCATAAAGACCGAGAAGGAGGTGGTGGACTTTTGTAGATCTAGGACACAATTGACCCTTTGCTAAGCCACGCCCGAAAACCGCAACTGGCCAATCGTGTCTTAGCAACCGTAACTAGGCGCGGGAGGTCTGGCAAGCTTTCGAGCGAGGAGCGTTGTGTGCGTATGGATTGTGCAAATCTGATACCCGGTATCCTAAAGTTTGGAATTGTTTTCCTTCCCGAAAAATCTAAAAGCCAAGGGGAGAAATAATGGGCGTGAATCAAGCAGTGTGGGAGACCCCGTTCACAACTACGTCGACAGGATTAACAAAAACACCTATTGCTTGGAAGTTGGAAATAATGACGGTTCTTTGTTCATAATGCATATATTTTAACGTAAAATAAGACGATTAAAGACAAGACGGAGGCTCACTGACAAACTTTAAAATATATTTAAGCATTTTGTTAATCGACGGCCTACTACCCCTGACTGAGTAACGTTAACTTTACACTAACTCCCGGTGTTAGTGTTATTCCACAAGATTTATGGACAAATCTGGATAAACTGTTTGATTTATAATTATTAGATTATTTTGACATTTCACTTACCCTGCTGTGCACGAACTGTTCCTCAATTTGTGTGTTTCTTATGTGAATGATCAGCGTATGAGGCGGTTGCTGTTTGCGCTGGGACTATAGGCTTTAGCTTAAATTTTTATGAAATTATTCTCTAATCGGTTGCATATGTCCTGGTGGATATATCCCTCGAATGCATACTGCAGTCCCTTTTGTCTTGCTCTCTCAGATATTTCACATGTTTGCCAAAAATGACTAATCATCTCATTGGGAATGTCTGACACCGGTGCATACACACTGTAATAGACGAGCCAGGCGCGAAAGCTTGACAGGCGTAGCAACAGTAACTAGGGAGGGCGGGGCGTAGCGAAGGGTCAATTGCAGCCTGTTTGTATACGTGGGGAGGCCATTAAGGTGGTGCAGTCCTAGAAGTATCTGGGTGTGTAACTAGATAATAAGACTGATCCCTAAATATGGATGCCCTCTACAAAAGGGGGCAGAGGTGCCTCTTTTGCCTCAGGTCTCTTGATATTTGTATTGTGCATGTTATCTGTCGGCTGTGGCTAGTGCCCTCTTCTATGCTGCAGGTTGTTGGGGAGGCAATATGACGGACAGGAACGACAGGCGGATGGACAAACTGGTGGATAAAGCCAGCTTGGTGCTTGGCAGGAGTGGTATTTGTGTGAGTGGAGAGATACATGAGGAGAAAATTGCAGGCAATACTGGACAAATACACAACACAAAAATACAGTGTTCAAAACGGTGCTTGCTGTGTTGTGCATTGACAGATGTGGTCACCTGACTGAGGTTAAGTGGTTGAGATCTGCTGGGGTCCTGTTGGGGGTCAGTGACTCTCTCTCCTGAGCTGCTCGGCTGCCTTGTGGCGGCAGCGGCTCTCTTAGGCTTCATGTAGTAATTCTGGGTAAGACCTAAAACAAACAGCCAATGTAGTTAATAAAAAAAAAGTATTTGTTTTATAAAAGTACACCAAATAGCTGTTGACCAAGCTACACTGAATTAAAAAAAAGGATGATACTTGCCTACAGCAAGTGGGATTTTGGCGGATATTGAGCTTTCCACAGGCTGCGCTTTCACAGACGGAGCCACCACTGCCATGGATTTGGACAGGCGTGAGGGCTGGAACCCCACATGACTGTTCTGGGGCTTGGGAGTTAGAGGACTGGCGGTGGAAGAGTCCGAATCATGAACGGTTAGACAGCTGATCACATTAGTCCTGTGGCTGGGGCCACAGCTGACAAAAAAAAAAAGATTTTTAAAAATCCATTGATTTCACATGAATGAAAGGAATAAAATAGATTACACATTTGGTTAAATGTGGCAAAACAAGCACTAAATTCTTACTGGTAACATTCATCACATTTGCTAAAATATTCAAACACTTCAGTGTGGTTTACTTAAGTTAGATTGAGCTATTTTGATTGTGAAAGACATTGTCAGTATTAAATGCATACAGTACCATTCAAAGGCTTGGAGTTGGGAAGCCTTCTGCTCACCAAGGCTGTATTTATTTGATCAAAAATACACTTAAACAGTAATGTGAATAACAATCTTTAAATAAGTTTTCTATTATAATACATTTTAAAATTGTATATATATTCCTGTTATGGCCAAGCTAAATTACTCCAGTCTTCAGTCACATGATCCTTCAAAAAAAAAAAATCATTCTAATATGCCTATTTGCTGCTCAAGAAACATTTCTAATAATTAAAGAATGTTATATTATAATAATAAAATAGAATAATAATCAAATCAAATTATATATGAAATATAAATATTTTGTCTTTACAATCAACTCTCCATCAATTTAACGTGTCCTTGGTGAATGGGAGTATAAGCTTCTCATTAAACTGGTTGTGTATGTATATTGCCAGGTAGTGACCTCACCTAACGGGGTGGAACTTCCTTTCGTCCTCATCGTCAGAGTCGCTGTGTATGGTGATGACACTGACAGCAGGACTCGGGGTGTCGGAGATGATGATGGGCTGAGTGAGAACAGCACTGTATGACTGAGCACTGCTGTGAACACACAAATGGTCAGACGGTATATTCTCTCCACATACAGGGACACTTACACTACATAAAGCATGGTTTATCAAATCACGTTTTTCTTCTAAATATAGCACAAGCTTTACAAACAAAATGAGAAAAACAATTACTGTTTTTATTTTTGAAATATCCGAGTGTCAAAAGTAAGTGGCCCAATACCTGCTGCCAGTGTCACAACAGATCCTGCTCCTCTTGTTCTGTGACCTTGTGACCGTCGAGGTTCCTCGATTAAGGGATTGAGTGGAATTGAGACTGCCAAGGATGTGTGGGTTCTGCTGGACAACGCCATTGTGCTGACCGCTCTGAGACACCCTGCAGGACACAACCAACCAATCAGCATTAACCCTTTTACGCGCATGTATGTTTTATTAAATCTAGCTGGGCCCCCAATGTGAATTTAAGGAGACCGTTATTTTAGAACGTATCGCTAGCCTGACTTCATCATACTCATATTCTAGTCAGAATGAGTCTGATGCTGCTCCATAGGGCTTTGATTATGAGGCGTATCTTAACCGAACCAGGAAAAAAAGAAACTTGCACTCAATTGGATAGACCTACAACCAATCAGAGCAACGCAGTAAGTGACGTATGTTGAGCTACGCATAGTTGTCAACAGAACTCAACTGCACACACGCTGGAAGAAGTAGTAAAATAATGAGTGTTGCTTCTTTTACTTGGTCCTCCATGAGCGCGACCAAAGGAGAAACCACAGCGACCTCAGGGCTTTCATTGCGTTCCCTCTTCTTAGCGACCATCGGAGCCAGCTGATAAATTAAACTTTTGCCGAATCCCGTAGGAAGGACGGCAAACACATCTTTCCGATCGGCAAATGCCTTGATTGCAGTTCTCGGTTCGTCTTTTAAAATGAATGCGCTGTCGATTTCTTTTACAACAGTCGCGATAGAGGAATCTCTACATCTCAGTTCTCCAGCTGCAGTGATCTCTGAGGGAAACCAGTTCAACCCAAGCGCTCTTTGATAACGTGATGATTACGCAACTGCAGATCATCTGTCCATCATCGTATAAAGCCCGCCCTGGCAATTTGATTGGCCCGACCATTTCTGAACCGATCATAATTACTCCTCAATGGATCGAGTCCAGACCGAACTTCCCGACCAAAAAATGTTGTGGGCGGGGTTCGGGCTGGCATCCAGGGTAACGTATCGCCTTACTTCCATGGTAATGTGAAATGCTTGTCACGTGATACACCGCAGCCACAATAAGACCTGTATGACTGATTTTATTTTTCATACAAAATATCCACAAACTTGTTAATGTCAAACTATCTGACATTACGATTCTCAGATATGTGTAAATTAATATGTTTGGTCATTTAAACACCTTTATATTAATCTTATCTGTCGATATATAACATTTGATGGGCTCTGCGATGTTAGTTTGCACTGCAATTCAGATTATCGGATCTATCTGAATTAGAACACAAATTAATTCCTGTTCCTGAAATACATGAAAGGATGTGGCCGTCGGGTTACACTATTTCGATAGTACACTTTAGACATTCTACAAACTATCAGTAACTTTTCAACTACATGTCAACTAACTCAGAGTATCGAAATAAAGTGTTATCGGCCGTTGAACTGGGAGAAAATTAAGAAAAGCGTAAATGTTCTGACTGCAGCCACTTTAATATTAATATTAAAAAAAAAATGTAATTAATGATTCAAAGATTTCACTTGTTTCCTTGCTGTATGAATCTGTTTTTGAACAAATATCTTCAATGAACGATTCAATGACAAATACATTTTTTTTTATTCACTTGTCGCCGCCTACTGGTGTAACTAGGTAATTGATACAATCTTTGAAGTGTTATTTTGATGGCTACAGTAGACATCAGTAGGTCTTTATTCATTATTATTGTGATGCTCTACCTCCAACTTGATGTTTGCTGTGTAGAGTTCTCGGACAGTAGGGCTTCCAGGGGTGATTCGGTCACTACGGGCTGGTGGCTGGAGTTGTGGATGGTCATGCCAGGAACCTGCTGCCATGCAGAGGGTATGAGGATCTGCTGGGTACCCGCCGGCCAGGCCTGCTGGAGGATCATAAAATATCGGCCTTAGTGACACTGGCACTTAAAAAAAACACTTGAACAAGTCATAGTGTACCACTGATTTTTAATCAAACTTAAAGGATTAGTTCACTTTTAAAAAAACCTTTGCTGATAATTTACTCACCCCCATGTCATCCAAGATGTCCATGTCTTTCTTTCTTCAGTCGAAAAGAAATGAAGGTTTTTGATGAAAACATTTCAGGATTTTTCTCCATATAATGGACTTCAATGGACCCCAACCGTTTCAAGGTCCAAATGACAGTTTCAGTGCAGCTTCAAAGGGCTTTAAACGACACCAGACGATGAATAATGGTCTTATCTAGCGAAACAATCGGTCATTTCAAAAATAAATAAAAAAGTTTACGTTTTATAAGCACAAATGCTGGCCTTGCTCTGTTCTGTGACTCTCCTGTTCGACCTCGTTCATCAAAATGAACAAATCTTTTTGAGTCATTTTGTTCGTTGAAGGCGAGCATTTGTGCTTATAAAACTTTAACTTTTTTATTTATTTTTGAAATGACCAATCGTTTCGCTAGATAAGACCCTTATTCATCGTCTGGTGTCGTTTAAAGCCCTTTGAAGCTGCACTGAAACTGTCATTTGGACCTTGAACCGTTTGGGTCCCATTGAAGTCCATTATACGGAGAAAAATCCTGGAATGTTTTCATCAAAAACCTTCATTTCTTTTCGACTGAAGAAAGAAAGACATGGACATCTTGGATGACATGGGGGTGAGTAAATTATCAGCAAAAGTTTTTTTTTTAAGTGAACTAATCCTTTAAACAAGTTTTACTGACAAATGAAAAGAGGGTAAAACAGCTATGACCAAGCTTTCACCACACAATGAGTGACATTAATGCATATATGGCCATTTAACTCTGAATTTATCCATCATTTGTGTCATGCTAGAATGGCGAAGAACCTCATCTAACATGCTGATGAAACTCAGTGACATCACTGCACTCAATTAAAGTGAACACCCCAATAAATAAATAAACGAACGAATGGAATAATCCATAAATGCACAAAAATTCTGCAATTCTCTCCCGGAGTATAAGGCAGCTTTAGATGTAGCACAGCCATTTCGTATGATTTTAAAAGCCAAGACAAGAACAGCATGCAACAACGATACACAAGCATTAAAAAATTAAGATGGGGGTGAAAGACAGTAATCCGGCAACCTGTTGGGAAGAACCGTGGCTGTTAAATAGTCGGAAAACAATGAGTGTTTCCACAGAGCAAAACTGCCCAAAAGATCTGCCATGCTGGTACGGGCAGCACTAGAGTACCTGCGGACAGACATGGCTATGAGAGGGAGAGGAACATGGCTGCAAATGTTTTTGAGCTGTAGACAAGGTCAGTCTCCTCCCCTGAGAGAAGACGGAGGGCCAAACAGACAGTGAGGCTGGGGAAGGAGGGGTGGGGGGTCAGAGAAGGGAACAATTCACACAACAAGAAGCTGCAAGCAAAGCACAGAAGAGTCAGCACATGCCTCCCATGCCTGTATCAGACCTGCACTGAGAAAGAATGATGCGGGAGTGACAGAGCGAAGAGAAAGGGAGAATGATCAGAAAGTAAGATTAGAAATACAGAAAAAAGGAGCAATTGGAAAGAAAAATAACAGTTTAGAAATAAATGCAGATATCAGGAGGAAAAAGTAAAAAATATAAAAATAAAAAAAGATCAGAAAAAAGATCAAAGAGAGATCAGAAAAACAGGTAAATAAAGATCAACAAGAGATCAGAGGATCCGTAAAGATCAAAGACAAGAGATCAGAAAAAAAGATCAAAGAAAGACGGGAAAATAGAGAGATTAGAAAAAAGATCAAAGCGATCGGTAAAGATCAACAAGAGATCAGAAAAGGCCCAGAATGATCAAAGAGAGATCAGAAAAATGAGGGGGAAAAAAATATATATACACACACAAGTAACAATGAAAGAAAGGTAAGATCAAAGAGTGTTAAAAAAAAACCCCACAGAGACCAGAAAGTAAGATCAGAAAGAAAGGAGGATGCATTTAAGGAGGATTTTGGAAAGAGGGGCATTGAGAAGTGATGTTAGTGGTAGAGCACTGGGTGGGTCTCTCTTTACCAGCACTGCGGCTGTCTGCTCCAGTAGGGCAGGCCGTCCTGCCCCACAGCCCAGTGCCAGGGGCAGCGGGTACTGGGACGCCACTCCCGCTGTGTGGGGGTGCAGTGTGGCCACCATCAGAGGCGTGCAGGAGCCCTACGGAGGAGGGGCACCATGGAGGGAAAGGGGCAAAAAGCATGGAAAGATTAGACAAAAGGTCAGACTCAGGTCAAGGGTACAAGGCTGTGATCTCACGTGCCATTTACTGGCACTTGCCAGCAGCAGAAGGGGTGTCCATGCAGACTTTAAGAACGGACGCTTCCTCTCCAACTCAACTGGATTCATTTGCATTTCATCAGTTAGATATTATGCCAGAGTTAGTTATTATACACAGAGGAACCGATGTGCTGCATGTCTTACCTGTGTCAGCATGCTGGGTTGAAGCTGAAGGGGTTGGGTGGACTGGTTCTGCTGGACAACAGGAACACCATTCTCCATCCTGACAGGATAGCTAGAGGTTTTATTAGAGGATGGAAGGCCTTTGGGAAAAATAAAAGAGCATCTTAAATTTTAGTACCATTACAACAAATAAAAATAAATGCCATAAAAAAGCCAAAAATGAATTGTTTGCAACATTTAACTAAGCAATGTGACTGAGACAGGGTATTCAACGAGAAAATGATGAAACAATGCTTTAGTTAGACCTAATGGTGTACTGAAGTCCCAGGTCGTTCGTCTTCAATTGGTTAAAAATGTTGCGGGCAAATTTCTTAAAGCAACACCAAGGAACTTTTCCTCAGCGGTCACCCTACAGGTTGGAAGCGGAATTGTCCATTACCGCTGTCGTAAATAATTTAGCCTACCGCAGCCTACTGTCGCACGCTCGCTGTTTATCAAGCACCGGCTTTGGAATCAACAATGGCAGACATCCCAACCTGCAAGAAGTCATTTCAGGGAGGTATATCTTGGTGACTGTATTGTTGATGGGGGGTGGTGGGTTAACTAGCTTTCGTGAGGCACATTCGCAAGGTCTCTCGCTCTCTCCCTCTCTGCCGTGCTCGCGCTATGCATGTTATGCGCGCAGTATGTTCTGTCTCGCATGCGCGCTCTAGATTCCGGCAGATTTGAACTAATTTGCGGGCATCAGGGAGACGCTATAGACTTGGGATGTCTGCATTGGCCATAGACAATTTGAGGAAGTGGTGGGGGAAGTTACGTATGCCGTAAAGCAGTCGAGTTTTGTAGTTCTTTTTGTGCTCGGGTTACTACCCGAAACCCGAAGTTACATAGTGCGAGTAAAAGCAATACAGACCACGTCAGGCTATGGCAGACGTGTCATTTAACCTATTGTGAGTCGATGTACCATCACAAGGGTCTTGGAAATATATTATGAAGGTTGAAAAGTTTCATAGTGTTGCTTTAAGAAAAGACGTAAATTCGATCATGCCACTCCCATTTTGCGAGCTCTCCATCGGCTCCCAGTCCAATCTAGGATTGACTATAAAATTCTCCTATTTGTGTACAAATGTTTGCATCACCTTGCTCCAAATTATCAGTCTGAACTACTACACTCATATTGCCCGTCCCGAGACCTAAGATCTGGCAACCTAAATCTACTTGCTGTCCCTTGCACTCGGCTAAAACGCAGAGGAGATAGTGGTGGGGCCTAGATTGTGGAACAGCTTGCCAGTACAACTTAGAGAAGCTCCTTCTATATCAGTTTCTATATCATCAGTTTTCCTTAGCTTTTAAAACTTGTTAATGTCTCTCCTCTGTCTTTTTTCATTTTTGATTTTGTCTATTTGAACTATTTGTTTTCAAATTTGTAAATGTAGTTTCTTAGTTGTTCTCTTTTCGACCCTTAGTTATTTGAGCTTGTACAGGACTTTGGTCAGTCCGGTGGCTGTTTTAAATGTGCTTTATAAATAAAAGAACTGCACTTGTGTGCAAACGCTGCCTGCAAAGTCATTGCCTGATAGGGCGGCGAGGCAACAAGTCAGTTGTCTAAGCTTTTCATAGAATCTGGCTTAGACCCCCATAATGCACCCTGCTCCAGCTCACCTTGGATAGTGGTGGGGGGGCAGACGATGAGGGTTTGCTGGAAAGGTTCAGTCTGAGCACACAGCTGTGTGGGGCGGGTCTGCATGGGGATGCTGGGTTGGGCCAGGCCTGGGATGTTTATGGTAGCCTGCTGGTAAAGGGCTGGCTGGTAGTTGAGGAGAGGAACAGCTCCAGCAGCAGACGGGACCTGGCTGTGCTGGTTAAGCTGGCTGCTGAAGGTCACGGTCAGGTTTCCAGCAGTTCCAGGAACAGCGTTTGCAGCAAACAGGGCCTTTCCACTGTCAAAGCTACTGTTCCTTCTCTTTGTAATATCCATGTTCTGGAAGCACGACTTCACACTACAAAAAAAAAAAATAATCATATGAGAACCAATTAAAAACATATCTCTCAAAATGAACAAAAGCTAGAATTCCATGTCTTCTTCAAAAGGACATACTGAGAGCTGTGTGGGAAGCTCAGCAAGTGGCTCATGGTCACAAACGGATGTGCCAGGGTTTTTGTGGGTGTGATTCTTTTATCAGCGTCCAGTCTCAACATCCTCTTCAGCAGGTCGATCAACTCCCGTCGGTCCGCCTTCTCCGCCAACATGTCCGTCCCTTCTAAATGAGTAGGCAGATTGACCTGGAAACCGATAAATAAAAAAAACAAGATTTAGTATTACACGTCTAGTATTGATGCGCTCCATCCTAGAGATCTATTTGTAATTACCTGCATCATGTCATCTAAACAATTGAAGATGTATTTTCTCGCTTCTTTTGACTTGATGCCCATTTCAGACTCGTGCTCAGATGGGGTCTAGAAAAATACAGAAGTGTCAGCCAAGTAAAATATTCACCAAAGAGTAACTGTTCTGTCATTCAGCGTTAGTTTTGTTTAAACCCCGCTAAAAATAAAAAACCTTAACGATGAGTACTGACTTTTAACCTCCACAAGGGATAGCTGGAGTCTGGTCCTCTGTTAAAGAAGCGGCTTGTCTTTGTGCCAGCACTCAAAAGATACTCCGGAGGCAATCCCTGTGTCTGAGAAATGTACCGAATCTGGAGAGGGAAAAAGGAAAGGTCAAGTCTAGTACAAAGACTAGGGAAGATTTCAACAAAGGACCCAGAAACCAATCAAAAAAGCCATCTTGAAGAACATCTCAATTCTTGCAACACGAGGCATGTATGAAAACCCGACACAAGTATGAATTCTCCTCCCCCTTCATATCTGTCACAATAATTTTAATTTACATTTTACCTCTGCAATTTTAATAAACCATACATCTAGAGTTCTAACTAGAACCAGGAAGTATGACCATATTAGCCCAGTTCTGTCAACACTGCATTGGCTCCCTATAAAACATCACATACATTTTAAAATCTTACTAATTTCTTACAAAACACCAAATGGTTTAGCTCCTCAGTACTTAAGCGAGCTCTTATGGTCCATCCAATTCTGGCCAATTGAAAATACCTAGAAATATCAAAATCAACTGCAGGTGGTAGATCCTTTTCCTATTTAGCACCCAAACCCTGGAATAGTCTTCCTAGCCCCGTTCAGTAAGCAGACACTCTTGTCAGTTTAACCTGGCATACACATAACACATGATCAATTTCTGTTATTCAAATCAGTTAAATGATTGTTAGGCTGCATAAATTAGGTCAACCGGAAACCAAGACACTTTCTATAACACCCAATGTACTTGTAACATCGCAAGAAGAATGACATCTACACTAATACTAGTCTGTCTGTCTCATCCTTATCCTGAGGTTACCGTAGTCAGCCGTATCCGGTCCGTATCCAGATCAGATGTGGACCTGCACCTAGACAACCAAAACGCAGCCCTGAATGTCAGCAGAGACCGTGTCTACAAGACAATCCCTCGCCGACACGACAGACATCAGCACAGATCCTCAGCAAAGACCACGAGAACAGACAGGTCCTCCACACAGACCCTATGGCCAGCTTTGGCTCCATACCGGCGTGATGAATCGATCTTCAAGCAGAAGGAACTGGATGAATATATTAATGCTACCGGTCCCGATCTGAATTCACACCTTGGAGCCTGGTTTCTCCCCCAAAAAAATTTCTCTATATTCAGTCACCGGATGGAGTTTGGGTCCCTTGCCACTGTCGCCTCTGGCTAGCTTAGTTTTGGACACTTAATATTCATCAATATTATTGATCTGACTGTGCTGATGGCACTATATGCAAACTGAGCTGGGCGATGGCATAGTTTATTTCATCTAGAAAGTAGTTCTGGAAAAAATTCTTTACAAATTGATGATCTTTACAACAGAGCTGAATCAATACTGAGTCAAGTAGCCTATACGCTTAGAGCCGGTTCATTTTTGTGACACGCTTTAGTTCACAGAGAACAAGATGTCACAAGCTCATTCTGTTTGTTTTCTTTATTTTACAAAAACACAACGTTTTGTTGTTACTGTGAGTTTGCACAAAAAAAAAGACGACCCTTTACAATTTCGAATGATCTATTACTCTTATCTGCATGACCAAAAATGTCAAAGTTTTTAAGTTGTTTCCGCTGTTATCAGAAAAAAAATGCAAGTGATCGCGCTAGCGCCTTCATGCAGTAAGCACGCTATACTTAAAGGGATACTCCACTTTTTTTGGAAATAGGATCATTTTACTACTCCCCCAGAGTTAAACTGTTGAGTTTTACCGTTTTTGAATCCATTCAGCCGATCTCCGGTTCTGGCGGTACCACTATTAGCATAGCTTAGCATACATCATTGAAGTGGACAAGACCATTAGCATTTCTCAAAAAAAAAATGACCAAAGAGTTGCGATATTTTTCCTATTTAAAACTTGACTCTTCTGTAGTTACATCGTGCACTAAGACCGACGGAAAATGTAAAGTTGGGATTTTCTAGACTGATTTGGCTAGGAACTATACTCTCATTCCTGCGTAATAATCAAGAAACTTCACTGCCATACCATGAGTGCAGCAGGCGTAATGATATGACAAACTTAGTCCCGGTCACGTTGGAAGTTACCGAGCTGGGGACTATTTTCAGGCGCTGCGTCCTATCATTACGCGTGCTGCACTCATGGTATGGCAGTGAAGTTTCTTGATTATTACGCAGGAATGAGAGTATAGTACCTAGCCATATCAGCCTAGAAAATCCCAACTTTACATTTTCCGTCTGTCTTATGCACGATGTAACTACAGAAGAGTCAAGTTTTAAATAGGAAAAATATCGCAACTCTTTGGTCATTTTTTTTTTGAGAAATGCTAATGGTCTTGTCCACTACAATGATGTATGCTAAGCTATGCTAAAAGTGGTACCACCAGAACCGAAGATCGGCTGAATGGATTCAAAAACGGTAAAACTGAACAGTTTACCTCTGGGGGAGTTGTAAAATGAGCCTATTTCCAAAAAAAGTGGAGTATCCCTTTAAAGGGGTCATCGCATGCCCATTTTCCACAAGTTGGTGTTCATGTAAAGTTTGTAACATACTTTGGTTAAAATTCCTCTATGGTTGTGTAAAACGACACCCTTTTTACCTCCTCAAAAACAGCTCTGTTCACAGCGACCCGTTTCGGTGCATGTCTCTTTAAATGATAATGAGCAACTGCTCACCCCACCTCTCTCTTCCATGGGGGGTGTTGAATGGCTGAGAGCAGAAATATGCTAATACGGGAGAGTCAGTCAGTGGTCGTGGGCGGAGCATGAGCATTATGACATCATAGTGCTCAGAAAATCCAAACAGCCTGATTATTGAGAGTGTTTAGACTGAGGATTAAAAAAAAAGGGGAGAATGGATTTTTTTCATTGTATGGTAGTTGTGTCCACACACTGCAAAGACGTGTGACAAAAAAAATGTTTTATATGCAAAAACCATATAAAAGTGAATTTTGCATCAGATGACCCTTCTACTCTTCCACACTCCGCACAAACACTTGCATATGTGCCATATAGCACACATTTATCTAGGTTAACATGTTTAAACGATATGCCATACAGTGTTTCCGCTACATTCATTCTGCCGTGGCGCGCCACCACACCTAAAATCATCCCGCCACGGCTGCAGCTTCTCGGTCCGATATTGTATGTGTTATTGTTAAGCCCCACTAAAGGCATACAAAACATTGTAAAGCACCATAAAGTTTTGGGATGTGCATAATCGCTTTGCCGCTCTTATTGGCGCCATTCATGTTATAAAGCTTAGGGGAGGTTTAAACACCTGGGATAAGGGGGCGTGGCCAATGGGAATATCACTCATGGGCCAGGTCCCCTCCCCCTGGCGAAATGGGCCTGCCACCACGGCTGGAAAAAATCCTAGAGGAAACACTGGCCATAATTGAGGTTGATGGATGATAGGCAAACATTTGGATTTTCTGCCTGATATGCTGTAATTGCCACAAGGACCCGCCGTTAACAATCTGTCCCTCACGGACTGCGTGACTTCACTACTGCCATTAACATAATATATGTGACCTGGTCATATTCGGATGCTCCTGGATACAGCGGCCAGCCCAGAAAGAGCTCTGCAATCACACAGCCCAGCGACCACATGTCAATGGCTTCACAGAATGGCAGACCCAGGATGATCTCGGGGGCTCTGTGAATAGAAAGTGGAAAAAAAATACCATTTTAATATCATAATCTATGCATATAGGCTGTATTTCTCTTTGATCAATCATTTAGGATTCCATCAGGTAATCTCTTCTACAGGGATGCCTGATTATTAAACATCTACAGATTACAGATAATCCCTTCTTACCTGTAGTAACGTGACTGGAGGTAAGTCGAGCAGACGGCTTTGGAGACGTGACTGGCTGATCCAAAGTCGATCACCTTTACCCTGTAGGGCTGTCTGATGGGGTCAACCAGCATGATGTTCTCAGGCTTCAGATCAGCGTGGATGAGACCCAGGCTCTTGAGCTTCATCAGGGCCGTGGCCACCTGCTGCAGGATGGGGCGGATGTGCCTCAGAGGCAGTGGGCTGAACTTGCTGTGCTTCAGGAAGTCATAAAGGTTCTGCTCCAGCATTTCAAACACCAAGCAAGTGTGGCCCTTGTGTTGGAAACACTCGTAGGAGCGCACAAAGTTGAACTCGTCAGCGTTCTCCGCACTGAGGCGATTCAAAATGCTCACCTAGAAGAGGATCAATGACGAAAAGTGTCCACAATTAATAAAAGGGGGAAAAATTACTTAAAAGGGGGCGCTAAGAAAATAATAAATCCAATATATTGCATGTTAAATTTTGATACCAGTATTTGAAATCGAATTGTTTTCGTTATTGATTTAGGCGATTTCACAATGGAAATAACCATTTTTAATCTGTTAATGACATTTATGCATCTGCCTACATCAAAAATATAAATGATTCAGCACGTAATTACATTTCTATGGAAGCTTGTTTCCGCCACAGAATGAAAAATTAAAAAGGTAATTGAGACTTTTTATCTCGCAATTCTGACTTTATTTCTCACAATTGCGAGATATAAAGTCAGAATTGCGAGATATAAAGTCAGAATTGATTGATATAAAATTGCGAGATATAAAGTCAGAAATGCATGATATAAAGTCGAAATTGCGTGTTGTAAAGTCAGAATTGTGAGATATAAACTATTCTGAGAGGAAAAAAGTTAGTCTTTTATTCTTCCTTAGAATTGGCCTGATAACTCGCAATTGCGACTTTATATCTCACAATTCTGAGAAAAGATGTCAGAATTTTGAGATATAAACTCACAATTACGTGTTATAAAGTCAGAATTGCGAGATGTAAACTCGCAATTGTGAGAAAAAAAGTCAGAATTGTGAGAAAAAGTCTAGCCTAAATTCTGTCTTTTTTTCTCGCAATTGCGGCTTTATTTCTCAGAATTGCGACTATATCTCGCAATTGTGACTTTATTTCTCACAATTCTGACTTCATATCTCGCAATTGTGAGTTAAAAAGTTGCAATTATTATTATTATTTTTTTTATTCAATGGCGGAAACAAGCTTCCATACATTTCACAACTAAAAAAGCAGCGTAAAGTATAGTCACCTTTGACTTTTTCATTATGCTGTTGGTAAGGTTGTTCTTTGTAAAACTGCTTAAAACAATATGTATTGTAAAAAAAAAAACACTAAAATGTGCAAACTGTCTTATTTAACAATTAATTTCTATATAAAAAAAAAAAGTCTAAAATACGAGGAAGGAAGGGATGGATATAAAAATGTGAAATGTACAGACTTGGAACTTGAAATATACATGATATTTAACAGTTTTTATTGCGATACTCGGCATTTAACCGCAAAATGTTTAAAATGACAATATTTTATTGTGGCTTAAGAATCGTGATAGCACTGCATCGTGGGCCCTCTGGTGGTTCCCACCCTTACCAGGGTCTTTGCAGTAAAATTAGGCTACAATGAAATCTTGAAAAGCGCTAACAACCCAAGATTGCAAACAATACCCACTACAGAAACACAGATACTATCATAACATACCTCGATCTGTCCCTGACGTGCATATGATGGATGGTTCTTCAGGATTTTGATGGCCATAATCTCATTAGTTCCCCTTTTCCAGCACTTGGCCACCTGCCCAAATGTGCCCCGACCGAGAAACTCAAGAACTTCGTAGCTGTTGGAGACGGAGCAGAGGATCTCGTGTTGGACCAGCTGGTAGTCCCCTTCCCCAGTGGAGCTGCTGCTTTTGGTGGTGGTGGCCGAGTGCGGGATGGACTGGGCGGTGGTTCCCGTTCCCCCCGTACGAGCAGAGAAGGCAGGAGCCGAGAGCTCCTCCAGAATCTGAACGCTGCCGCTACCACTTCCACCTCCTCCGGAAGTCTCCACTTCCTCATTCTTCCTCTTCACACCGTATCTGTGCCCACGGGAAGAGTGGGAATCCGAGTGATGGGTGTTGTGGGACGTCCTGCGACTGGACCCACGCGGGAGGCTCCCGGTGCTGTCTGCAGCACGGACCACCACCTGGCCCCGGGACACTGGGGGGAAGATCAGGCCGGAGGTGCTGAAAGGGAGGCCCGCTGCGGGGTTGAAGCTGTACTGGCCCACAGAACTATACGCTTCATTGGAAGCATCCCAAGCACAGCTCTCCACCTTCATCTTTTTCACCCTGCAGAAGGCACTGGAAGACACAGATGGAGGGGAGAAAAGCTGCAGCTGTGAAGCCATGCCTGCGAATATTAGATGAGATTTGACATTGTTGAAAACAGAAAGAACAAAAAGCACTTTTAAAGGGATACTTCACCCAAAAATAAAAAATTAAGTCATTAATTACTCACCCTCATGCTGTTCCAACCCCGTAAGACCTTCGTTCATCTTTGGAACACAAATGAAGATATTTCTGATTAAATCTGAGAGCTGGATCACTCCTCCATAGGCTTCTTAAGGGATCGAAACTGGCCGGCCCAAAAGTTATGAAAGACATCGTTAAAATAGTCCGAGTGACGACAGCGGCTCAACCTTAAGTTTATCAAGCGACGAGAATACTTTTTGTGCGGAAAAAACAAACAAAAATAACGACTTTATTCGACTATTCATTTCCTTCTCTGTGGGCCTGAGACGAGAGTTCAAGAGATTTCCACGACGCATGCGAGAACTGATAACCCACAAGGAAGAAAAGGAATAGTCGAATAAAGTCGTTATTTTTGTTTGTTTTTTTCCGCAAAAAAAGTATTCTCTTCGCTTGATAAACTTATAGTTGAGCCACTGTAGTCACTCGGACTATTTAAACATTTTCTTCAATGACTTTCCGGCCCGTCAAGTTTCTATCCCTTAAGAAGCCTATGGAGGAGTGATCCAGCTCTCAAATTTAATCACAAATATCTTCATTGGTGTTCCGAAGATGAACGAAAGTCTTATGGGGTTGGAACAGCATGAGGGTGAGTAATTAATGACTTAATTTTCATTTTTGGGTGAACTATCCCTTTAAATGGCAACACTGATATCAACACGAGTGAAGTCACAAGAGAAAATCTGTTAAATTTTTATTATAAATAGACACATCTAGGGCCCAGTTTACACCTGGTGTTAGGATGCTTTTTGGTTGATCGTATCAAAAGCAGACGAGGCAGACACCCGTTTACACCTGGGGCCTCATTTATAAACGTTGCGTACGCACAAAAGAAGGCGTACGCCGCTCTCTACGCAATAATTGGTATTTATAAAAAGCAAACTTGGCGGTAAAATGTGCGGTCCTTCACGCAAGCTCTGACCCAGGCGTACGCACAAAAACGGGTGAAATGAGAAATGGCGACACCGTCGGCAGATGGAAGAAACACGTGAAAGTGTGTGAAACTGTAGACCGTTGTGTAAAATAAATGGCAATACTGCCTCTCATAAATAACACGGAGACTTCACAAACCAAGTCTTACAATTAACAGCCTACACGAACACCCGCTTGATCGATCTGCAACAGAAATGCAAATTAACACATATTTGCAAAAAGAAAAGTGAAATATGTTCTGCAATAATATTGGCATGTTATACAATTCATCCTCATAAATAAGATGGTAAACAGAACGAAATAATGTACAAAACTGATATTCTCGCCAATGTGTCCGTCTGGCGGAGCAGATATAGCTAGATAGCTAGTCAGTCAGATAGATAGATAATTAGGGAGAGATAGATAGATAAATAGATAGATGTATTATTTGTCCACTGGGGAAAGTTGTTTTCATAGTAAAAATGTCTTCATCAGCTACGGAATCATGGTAGGCCTATTCATGCAGGTATTTCATACATATGCCTTTAGTTTGTTTTATTTTTGATAAAATAACGTATGACTTATGTCTCAACCATTCAGAAAGCTGCAAGAAATTACATTTGCGCTGAACTATTTCCCATTTCCAAGTAGATTATAACCGACATCTGTAGCTTGTCATTTCTTTTTTATTTCGGCCACAGTCCGAGGTTGTGAGGCTACAGCATACGGCGTCTGCAACCTTTTGCCACTCAAGTGCCTTTTTGGCATTAGTAATGCCCACACTGTGGCCTCCAAACAACATTTTTCTCCTCTTTTCCACCTCGCCAACGATAACTTCTACTTCACATTGAGTGAAGTTACGTTTTTTTGATTTCCTCTCTATGTTTGCCATGATTTCGCAATCGATAAATATTAACTTATGGGCGTTTCACGGACTATTTATGGGCAACTATGGGCGTGACATGAAGCCGCAAAAGCTGCGCTACATTTAGAATTGATTGTGATTTATTAAGGGAAAAATGCGTAGGATGTGCGTGCGCACGGTTTTATAAATCCGAATATTTCTGTGCGTACGCACGTCCTATGTTTCATCCGTACGCCACTTCTGACGCAAATCCTACGCAAAGTTTTATAAATGAGGCCCCAGGTGTTTAAATCCGTCTTCTATCCCCACTTACGACCACTTCTGCCCCGATTAATTTAAGGAGAGGGTCTATGGGCGAGTAAATGCATGTTTTTTTTCTAGATCTTTCGATCCAATAGACAAAATAAGCTTGCACAATTTACATATGAACGCGTCGGTGATGACGGAAAAACAGGTGGAGAGCATCAGCAGCTTTCGTTTCTGCTCTGACAGCCGCAAGATCACGCCGAACACCGAGTGTGAGGCCTTGGTACGTTTTTAATCTTCAAACCAAACTTGGATCTCCAGCCGCTTCCCATAATGTTTACGCATTAGGTCAGTAGACAGAGAGTAGACGGTCTTTTGTGGCTGTTTGAACACATTCGCCCACATGAGCGTTTACACCACGAAGGCATTCCGGTCAAATGCGTTTTCGACTACCTCTGAAAGTGGTCGAAAGTGGACAAGATCAACTTTTTAGATCTTGTTTAAACCTGTATTTAGTGCCGTCCACTTGTGATCCGATCGACCAAAACGCATCTTAATACCGACACCGGTTGAGCATGTGAACGCAACGACCAATCAGAAGGGTTCAAGTTAGTCAAAACCTGTTTAAAATCCTTTCATTACTACAAACAGTGTAAACACGATGTAATTAAGAGATTCATTGTGCAGTGTAGTAGACCGCTTTTTCGATTATACCAGCAGGCGCTGAACTGAAGGGATTGTAAACTGAACTGATGCGTTTATAACCCATATATAATTTTGATAAAAGTTTTGTTTTTCATGCTCCTCAGTACACAGCAAATTTTCTCGATTTCTCGTATTTAAAACATCAAACGGCAAACGAAATGAAAGTGAAACGAGACTGCGCTACTCGTTGCTGCACTGCGCAGACTACTGTTTATCAGCTCGGACCAATATTATGGTATAATGCGCTGACATGTTTCTACGGTGGCCCTAAACAGACAAGTGCGCTTCGTTACCATGTTGTTCTTCGTGCAAGGAAGCTAGCTAAAGTCAGCTAATAAAACACTGACACAATGATGAACAAGTAACAATATTCGCAATCTACATCCATTCCTGTCGGCCACCGTAACTTCTGTTGGTTGCAATTCACACTGCACCTTTATGTCTCATGAAAAACAAAAACTTTACACAGAAAGCAAAATCGCGCCGTTTATAATTACTGAAACTGTTGGCCAGTTCAGTATGATACTATAGAGCAGTGGTTCTCAAAGTGTGGGGCGCACGGATACTGCAGGAGGGGCGCGGGAGATCCGCAGGGGGAAAAACAGCCGTTGCAATGGCGTTCAACTGTGTGAATAGCGGTTAGCGCTCAGCCTTCATAAAGCGGCATCGAACGGGAATTACACTTAACCGTTCTTCTTCAGACCGTTGACTTGTCACCGTTGGAACAAGCCTAACATAGAAGTTGCTCGCCATAGAAAAGCACCTTTTCCTGTGATTGTTCCGGTGAGAAGATGAACAAGCTAAGCTCGCAAGGCGCTGTCAAAAGCTGTTATATTAGCGCTTTTGTATATTGTTCATCCAAAGCATCACTGAAAAAATGTTTTTGTTTATTTAAATTAAAAGTTAAGTCAAGTCACCTTCATTTATAAAGTGCTTTTAACAGTATGGATTGTTTCAAAGCAGCTTTACAGTTATAATAGAAATTACCGTAACAGATTGTTTAGGCTTTACAACAGCATTAGAATAAAGTTATTGTCCAGCTAAAGTTTTGATTGATTCACTTCCGTTGCGAAGATCATTGGTTATTAACTTGGGGCCGCTAACACGACACCGTTCTAACAGAAAAACTTAGCGTGCACCGGCCGCACAAAACAGTTCTGATCTATTATTCTCTTTTACTGCTATATGATTCGATGACATTACAAAGTTAAACTATTTCAGGTGTTTTTCATTGCATGTTTTTCAATTTTAATTTTTTTTGGGTGAAATTATTTGGTAGTCAGAGGTGTGTGTGGGGTTGGGGCGAGATTACTTTTAAAGGTTTAAAGGGGGTCGCAACCAAAAAAGTTCGAGAACCACTGCAATACAGCAACAATAACCTACATTTAATATGAGTAGAATATATAACTTTTCCCTATAAAAATTAAGTTTTTGCATGTTTGGTTAATAAAAGTACATTTTATCTGCATAATCAATTCAAGCTGAGTGATTTACTGTTAAATTTCCAATACACAAACATGTCATATTATTAGTAACTGCACTTATTAATGCAAAACAATAGTAATCTTATGATTAAATTAACATGATGATAAATTTCCCCCCAGTGCTACCAAATGCCTGAGATATTGTTTTGTGTATTCGAAGCGCTGCAGTTTTGACGTCTGACGCTTTAAAAACTCAAGCATTATGGATTCTGAATGGCTGTCAATGTTCTTATCAGCTGGAAAAAAATATTCTGAAAGTTATTGCAACAATATCGCTTCTATGTGCCGTTATAGTTGTGGACTCAACTCATTTAATTTTATTATTTTCAAAGAGTTTTATGCTGCAAGTTTTATGGTACCGAAATTGGTACAGACAGAGAACCATGAAATTTTACTTGTATTGGTACCGACTACTGGAATTTTACTGCAACAACCCTGGCAATTATCAAATATCCATATTTTAACATTAAATTGAGTGGTCATATTTTGTTTTGCTTTTTCTGGTGTTGCTGGTTACTACAGGGACGTACTTAAGATACACCTAAAAACTGCAAACAATTTCTTTATAATATGTGACAGTAGGTAGGCACAAAAAAATTATGCACAAATTACAAAAAAACAGAGCCTGTGAAGTTGTTAATATTTTAGATTTCATAAATATATGAAAACTCATATGTAGGGACATATGTGAAACCTAAATGTGCAGGATTTCCTTTATGATTCTTTCTTTTTTCTCAAGTTTAATGTATATTTTTATTCAGTACCAGGCTGTTGTCTCAAAGCAAGTAGTTTTGGGGTGAGTGAATAAAAATATAAAAGAAAAATCTGTGACAGGCGCCAAATAATTATAAAGAGATGTTGTTTCTTGAAAAAATATTAGGAAAATTGTAAACCACGTCTAATCCCATATCCGTGTAATCCCTACATCCAGGGGTTTCAACGACAAAAAACAACAACAGTAATAATAATATTATTTTTATTAAATTATTAGTTAGCTGGCTTGCCAAGGCTTTGGATTGAGGGTCTATCTCTTTCTCTCTGTAAAGGCTGAAATCCCCTGATTCACACAAGCACATTTACACAGAGCAGAGCAGGCAGAGGAGCGTCGAAACTAAACATTTAAATCAAATAAAATACACCAAAACAGAACTGAAATATCAAAGATGACCAAAGAGCTGCACAAATTGTCTATTAAACGAGTTTTACAGTGAAACCAAACCGATGTATGCGTTTACAACCACCGACCGACTCCACCCTTTTCGAGAAAACTGCGCTATTGTCGCGAAGCAACAAAAAAGAAAGAAAAAAATACTAAATTAACTCAAAAGCACTGAGCTTGTTCCTTGATATGTCAACATTAAATATCGCAGTCGTTGAATTTAGTGACATTGTTGCCGAGATCCTCGAATCTGCAGACGTTATAAGTTCGCAACATTGTATCATCTGATGGCTGACAAGCAACCAATCGTAGTGTTACAATATAACATATTACATGCAAAACTAAAATTAAAGTGCCACAATAACTCACAATACATGAAAAAAATCATTGGGGAAATTACCAGAGTTCAACAAATCCAATCCCCTTCAACAAAAGCATGTTCAGACGCATTATGTCTACATTAGTGTCATTAAAGACATTGAGGATATATATATATATGTATATTATGGATGCTTGTTGGTAAGTTATATTAATACCTGAGCGCGTCGTTGATCCTGGTGTGTGGAACAGACGAGAGCTTTAAATCCCTCGGATCTGGATTCTAGGCCTTCATTGTTTCAGAGCTACTCCTCCGGCCCAACAGTTAACTCGAAAATAAACAGCGATCGGTAGAAAAATACAGCTCCATCAGTCACCGTGAATCGTGACCAGTGCCACTGCTCATGAAATCGTCGATTTCTGTCCTTGTACTAAAAATAAAACGGATTAAAACCCAGGCAGAAAGAGGCTGTCGAGCTCCCGGTACATCCGAAGCCTGATTATCAGCTGCTTCAGTCAGACTCAGGCTTCCTGTCCACGGGCGCAGCACTGCGCATGCGCACACGGCTTTACACGTTTTATAACACGCACTGAGATTAGCAATTGTGCAACTGTTGATGATGGGAAAATACCATGGCACTGCTCACCATGTTTCCCGTATACTGAAAACTCGTCATTGACGTACACGGACCATTTCACGTCAACTATAACGGAAGATATTAGAAAACCATGTAGGCTATTTTTTATAACGTAGCCTACCATTAATGCAGTTAACATTCATTAGGCTATTAGGGCAAATACACTTGCGATCAACTAAGAATTTTCAAAAGCTCAAACTTTTCTAATCCAGATCCAGAGTGGTTAAAAAAAGTACATATATAACACGTTAAGCATATTACAAGCGTTAATGCCAATTTGTTATGTAACATTTTGGGTAACACTTTATTTTAGTGCCCTTGTTACATATGTTACATGTATATGTTACATGTACTAGTAAATTGTGCATAATTACATGCAACTAACCCTCAACCAAATCCTAATCCTACTCCAAACCCTATAGTAAACATGTTGTTAATTAGTTGCATATATCATTACACTGTAACAAGGGCACCTTAAAATAAAGTGTAACCCATTTTTGTTATAAACATTTTGTTTTATAACACAGCTATGTCACAGTTATTCAACCCCTATTCAACACTTTTGCTTTTAAAACACTTACTAGTATAGAATTGTGTATTAAGCCTCTGTAACTCTATAACAATACTTAATTAGCTTTAGACACAGATGACATCATTGTGAGTTTAAAATCCATACCATAGCAAAACATCCAGGGCATGGAAGAAAAAGTAAAATTACATCAAGGGAAATAAGATGTCGACAAACGCCACTCTCGAACAAGAGAACATAAAAGGCTGACTATACGGTTACCCACCTTTCCAAAGGTTTGATGACTTAAACGGATAGTTCACCCAAAAATGAAAATGGTCATGATTTACTCACCTTCATGTTGTTCCAAACCTATATGACTTTCTCTTTTCTGTGAAACATAAAAGAAAATATTTTGAAGAATGTTGGTAACCAAACAGTTTTGGTTCCCATTGACTTCCATTGTATTTGTTGACCATATAACAGAAGTCAATAGAAAACGAAACTGTTCATTAGTTTTACTATCTCTTTATAAACTTTTTGAAGAGTCAAACAAAGTGGTAGTTGCGTAGCTGTCAATGCGGGACAGAAAGCTCTCAGATTTCATCAAAGATCTTCATTTGTGTTCTGAAGATGAACGAAGGTCTTACAGGTTTGGAACGCATTGATGGCCTAAGACACGAAACGAGCGGTTTGTGTGAGAAAACAAAGAGTACAGGTCCTTCTAAAAAAAATAGCATATTGTGATAGAGTTCATTATTTTCCATAATGTAATGATAAAAATTTAACTTTCATATATTTTAGATTCATTGCACACCAACTGAAATATTTCAGGTCTTTTATTGTTTTAATACTGATCATTTTGGCATACAGCTCATGAAAACCCAAAATTCCTGTCTCAATAAATTAGCATATCATGAAAAGGGTCTCTAAACAAGCTATTAACCTAATCATCTGAATCAACTAATTAACTCTAAACACCTGCAAAAGATTCCTGAGGCTTTTAAAAACTCCCAGCCTGTTTCATTACTCAAAACCGCAATCATGGGTAAGACTGCTGACCTGACTGCTGTCCAGAAGGCCATCTTTGACACCCTCAAGCAAGAGGGTAAGACAGTAGGAAATTTCTGAACAAATAGGCTGTTCCCAGAGTGCTGTATCAAGGCACCTCAGTGGGAAGTCTGTGGGAAGGAAAAAGTGTGGCAAAAAACGCTGCAACTCTCCTGACCTGAAAAACGGCCTGCCAACTCTCCTGACCTGAACCCCATAGAGAATCTGTGGGATATTGTGAAGAGAAAGTTGAGAGACGCAAGACCCAACACTCTGGATGAGCTTAAGGCCGCTATCGAAGCATCCTGGGCCTCCATAACACCTCAGCAGTACCACAGGCTGATTGCCTCCATGCCACGCCGCATTGAAGCAGTCATTTCTGCAAAAGGATTCCCTACCAAGTATTGACTATTGAGTGCATAACTGGACATAATTATTTGAAGTTTGACTTTTTTTTTTTTGTATTCAAAACTCTTCTTTTATTGGTCGGATGAAATATGCTAATTTTTTGAGACAGGAATTTTGGGTTTTCATGAGCTGTATGCCAAAATCATCAGTATTAAAACAATAAAAGACCTGACATATTTCAGTTGGTGTGCAATGAATCTAAAATATATGAAAGTTTAATTTTTATCATTACATTATGGAAAATAATGAACTTTATCACAATATGCTAATTTTTTGAGAAGGACCTGTATTTATATCGTTTTTACCTCTTGTAACGCACAGACCGAAGCGCCGGCGCCCTCAGATCACTTGGACGTGGCTGTGTTTACAAGAGGTAAAAACGATATAAATACTGTTTGTTTTCTCACACAAACCGCTCGTTTCGTGTCTTAGGCCATCAATGTGTACTTACATTTACGAGTCATTAAATCATGTTTAATTTGGACTTCTCTGTGCATGCTCTTTGAGGTGGTGACCATAGACCTGCATTATATGACTGACAGACAAGAACGGTTTGACCTAAAAATATCAAAATTGAAACTACTGTGGAAACAAAGACACCTACATCTTGGATGCCCTTGAGGTAAGCTAAAACATACCAAAAATTCATTTCAAAGTGAACTATCCCTTTAACAGTTTAAATTTGGAATAAGAAAATTAATACATACTTTAATAGATCTTCACATGGACTTAAATAGAAAGATAAACAGCAGGGTTAAAATCAAATTAACGAAGAAAAAAACAACAACCTTTTTTCCATTAACCAAAACCGTAAGTGTTGAGAAAATTTTTTGAAAGCGGAATTTAGCATGGCATGACCCATGAGATGAGCTTATGAGTGTTATGAGCAAAGAGCTGAAAGGAAAAACAGCACAAGGACGAGGAAAATCTGTCACAGATAAACAGAAGTGCTGTTGACCAATTTCATTCTTCCATCCAACTGGTCTGTATTGGACAGTTCAGTCAAGAACATAATAAAAGCTGGTATTTATTCTCTTTCATCACATCAGAGAAGACACTGTTTGTTTCATTTTGAAGTGGATTCACCCAAAGCCTAATTGAACTTCAGAAAAAACACATTCTTTCGGTGCATTACCCAAGGTTGTGTCAAGTAGATAGTGTTCTGAAGAGAAGCTCAATTTGATTAAAAGTAAAAGTGATTCTGTTCACACTTGTAGTTCCATTCCCTTGGTACGGACCAACGCCCGGTGGTTGGTTCGGTGTTAAAAAGCTAATGTGAACGCTAAGCAGACCAGGACTAAAGTTTTCTTGTTTTGTTTTTGGTCTGAACCAAACAAACCAAGTGAACGGAACTACAAGTGTGAACACAGCCTTAGAAAGAGCTTTCAGGTTATGTCTGTAATCTGTTTTTAGTCCTAGCCTATATTGTGTATCACAAACCTGACTGTGTAGACACAGACAACAAAGCCAGCTATAACACACAAGTTTATAAGTGCTCCCCCGAGGTTTCGCTTTGGCTGGCGGTGTGCAGGAGCTTGATGGGGAGCACCAAAGAGGTCTTCATCTCTATTAGACCTCACGTCTGGAATATACAGAGGTTGAAGTCGCACACTTACGTCTCTCAGAGTGCTCTGCTTCATCTTGATCTCCTGTAAAACAATAGTATGTAACACTAAATGAACACACATTTCATTCACAAGCTTATTTCCGAGTCAGGTTTACCTCCACAACCTCAGGAATCAGCTCACAGAAAACCCTGTCCTTCAGGTTGTATGGCAAGCTCTGCGCAGATAGCTGTCTTTTCTGACAGACCAATTTAAAAAACAATAAAATAATGAATGATAACCAATTAGGTAAAAAAAATAAAACATTTTTTTAACCACAATCTGAAAGCATGAATATTACCAATACAATCTCGTGACTATTCACAACTATTTCAAGTGATGCTCACTGAAGAGCCAAATGGGTGGAGCTTGATCTAGATCTTCAGGCCATTTCATGGGGTCTTTGAAAATGGCCATAGAAAGATTCTTTGCAAACAAACTGGATTATTAATGCAGGACTGAATGTAGGCTAATTGTTAAATAACCTAGTGATAATAATGTATCATTAGCCTACTGCTATAGCTAAAAATGGACAATTCAGCATTTAAAGCATGCCAGAAGGTAGGGTTGGGCAATAGTCAATTGCCAAAGAAATCTGAATTTTTGGGCTAAATGTGATGTATGCTATAATCTCAGTATTTACATTTTTTGGTAACGCTTCCTTTTACAGTCCTGTTACCCATGTACTTACAATAGTAATTATAATTACTGGGTAATAACTAGGTACTAACCCTGAACCTACCCCTAACCCACTTACCTTATATTAGCCAGTACTTTCTAGGTAAGTACACTGTAAGTACACGTAAGTACTGTACTGTAAAAGGAAGCGTTACCCATTTTTTTCTCTTTGAATAAAAAAAATCTGTATTTAATAAAAAAAAAAAAATTCATATCCTGATCAAAATTGTCCAACAAACAATGTTCATATTGAAGGCTATGAAAACAAACATAGTGAAAGTAAACTAATCTAGACGTTCAATGTGATTGAACAAGTCCCTTTCACACTTTGGTGGTGCGTCGCCCAATCGACTGCTGTGATACATCTCGCTATATTGTTCCCCGCTTTTGGACAGTCGTGGAAATGCTATGAAGGATTTTTCTTTTGCTATCGGAGCAAATGGGAATACAAAAATTATATTTGCTGTTGTCTTATCCCTTTCACTGCTTTTAGAAGTTTACTAATGATTTCATTTTTAATCATATAAATTAAATGGTACAAATTTTGTTTTAGAATATTTTGGATGTTTTTTTAATACAGTTTGATGGTTAAAATCTCAAAATGTTGCAGGCGGTAACATTTCTAAAACCAAAAGCCTTATTAATGTATATT